ACCTGTACATATTTAGAGTTATGCACGCAGCACACCCCAGTATGATGTGCAGTACAACCTGTACATATTTAGAGTTATGCACGCAGCACACCCCAGTATGATGTGCAGTACAACCTGTACATATTTAGAGTTATGCACGCAGCACACCCCAGTATGATGTGCAGTACAACCTGTACATAGAGTTATGCACGCAGCACACCCCAGTATGATGTGCAGCACAACCTGTACATATTTCGAAAAAAAAAATTTTATAAATCCGGTGCGAATTCTTTTTTTTTGGTTTAGATGTTTTGAAAAAGTTCTCGACTTTGATTTTTGTAATAATATGAAAACCGATCTTAACATTTGTAAATGATTTGCAATAACTTTTTTACTTCTAACTTTCTTCTTAGTAAATTTTTTTTTCTTGTTTCGGGGTAAATATTTTCCATCAGAGCAATCTTTAAGAATATACATTTTAAATTTATGAAACTTTTCATAGTTTTGGGCCGAGCCGTTTTACATTTAAATTCTTTGAAAATCGTTAAGCGACATTTTTTCCAGTAAAAATATTGACCGCGTACCTACATAAACCTTCCCGAGGATCATGCAAATAGCCACAAAAAAAATTGGTGCAAAATGAGCTCGGCAATTTTTAAGTTTTTTTGAGACAAACATGGACACGATAAGTTCAGATATGGATGAAAAAAAAAACACATTAAAGCTTTAAAATATTTATAATCGATGATCGAACGTGCTGTAGAGAACAAACTGGTCTTAAGGTAAATTCGTTTCTATGTTGAAATGTCGTATTATGTATTTGAAAGAATGAGACTTCTAACAACGAAACTTATTTAGTTTTTTTACGGTTCCCCCTGCACCTCTTAACATCTTATTCACCCTTAGACCATTTAATGCCTACAGATGAATGAAGAAAGAAATTCAAGTATTTGAGTCTTAACCATAAACTCAAATTTTCTAATCTCCATATCTCTGCAACTTGATGGTGTAAACCATTGATTTCATTGAGAGATTAATTGATCTATCAGAATTCATAGTTTGAAATATTGGGATTAGAAAATCTCAAAGTATTTAGGTAACCCTGTATTGGGTCCGAACCCTGTATCTAGTCCGAACCCTGTATCTAGTCCGAACCCTGTATCTAGTCCGAACCCTGTATCTAGTCCGAACCCTGTATCTAGTCCGGACCCTGTATCTAATCCGAACCCTGTATCTAGTCCGATCCCTGTATCTAGTCCGAACCCTGTATCTAGTCCGAACCCTGTATCGAGTCCGAACCCTGTATCTAGTCCGAACTCTGTATCGAGTCCGAACCCTAAAATGATTTGAATTCCCTTGTATTATGCTCTAGAGTTATAGAGCTGTATTATAGGATCTCAAAGAACAAACGAAATTGAAATATATTCTTTGTATAAACGGAGAATGGACAGAAGACTAATGATGCACAATAATCCAAGAATATATTCAAACAAGAGACCAAACTTCATTCCCCTCCCCCCTATCCCCATCCAATATGTAAAACCATCTCCTAAAATCTAAAGGTATAAATTTAAATAATGTACCGTAGACAACCGTGTTGTACGTATATGTCGCCAAAATAAAGAGGAAAACTGCACCTTGCACAGCCTGTCAGGTTTTTTGGAAACCACACTCACGACCCCCACCCCCCTTCCATGTAAAACAATAGGAAAAACAATAGGTTATCATGTACATAATTTAAACTCCTCTCCTCTCCTGTTCTATGAACTCTCTTCTCTCTCGAGTAGTATTGTCACATTCTGCAACACCAACAATGATTTCTTTGTTCTCCCCCCCCACATCCTCCCCTCCCCCTCCTTTCTGTATCTGGTGGGAATCAATATTCTAATAATGGCGACACTAACAAATAGATCTAATAAATAATAATAAATAAATTAGACTCAATCCCGGACACTGTTGGTTCCAATTACATCCAATATAAACAATAATTATCCAAAATATTCATCAAATATCATCTAGTCAAGTTGTCAGCTGACAAGTCACAGTGATCCAAACAAATAATAGACGAGAATATTGCCAATTACTTCTTATAAACCCAACGCTGAAAACAAGTGCTACAGTGTTCTCATATCAATATGTCTAGGTCTACATAAATCGAATCAAAGATCAGGACATTGCAACACTATAAAGTCTTAAAAATTAAAGTAACATTTTACAGCAGTCTGAATCCATGTGAGCTTTTACCGCAAGTTCGTGAATTTGAGTACTGTGAAACCCGTAAATTGTAGAATAGTAATACGACATTTAGGCATTTTATAAACCAAATAGTTTTACAAGTACAACTAGCTGGATTAGTATCTCATTTAGAGAAATGAGTTTGTGTGAGAGATTGCTGTGGTTCATCTTATTCCAATTATTCAAATTCATAACTTGAGTCTAACGGAACCCATAATCCTATTCCAGTTTTATGGATTACGGAATACTAGAAATACTAAATGAGATTGTGCAAGTAATAGATTTGGTTCCCATAAAAAAAAATTTGTGCATGCATCCGACCTACAAAAGTTGTGCATCCAACCTACAGAAGTGCATGCATCTGAAGTACAGAAGGTCAAATACACAAACTTTTTTTTTCTAAATCGGACCAGCAGCAGCTAGAAGCTGCTGAAAAACCACGTGAGAGTAGGTCCGAAGTATCGTAGGACGGATGTAATACAATTATATCCGTCAGACGACCAGCTAAGATTTACCAAAAACTATTTTAGACTCGTGTAATGTCCTATTTTTAGAATCTGTTAACTGTTTCTAGTGACATTTTTGTTTACCATAGTCTTGCTTCAGGGCCACTTTGGTCTGTAAACCGTTGATGTATCAAACTTATTTGATCTAAGAGAATTTTTAATTAGAAAAATCAAGTCTAACATTGGGTTGCAAAGATTTAAGGATTAGAAAATCGGAGTTTGCGGAAAAAAACTATGTTCCTTTGAATATGCTTGTCATGGAAAATTATGTTCGATGCTTGTTTCAATAGGAATTCAGAACTTGATAAAATTTACATATAATTAACATTCTTTTCTGTTTAGTATTTGGGGACAGTAAAGCACTCTTTTTTTTAATATATGACATTTATTTATGTATTAAAATCAAATATTGATTCATCAAATATGTAAATTTTTGAATAAAATAAATAAGCAGGCAAATACAAATTTATTCACTTTGAAGTAATTGTAGATTAAAGTTATATTTTTTTAATCTGCGAATACACTTCTATAGTTGTAAACAAACAATAGACTGTGAATACACATCTATAGTTATAAACAAACAATGAACTGTTAATACACTTCTACAATTGTAAACAAACAATACTGTGAATACACTTCTATAATTGACAATGGACTGTGAATACACTTCTATAGTTGTAAACAAACAATAGACTGTGAATACACTTCTATAGTTGTGAACAAACAATAGACTATCAATACACTTCTGAAGTGTAAACAAACAATAGACTGTTAATACAATTTTTTAGTTGTAAACAAACAATAGACTGTTATTACAATTCTATAGTTGTAAACAAACAATAGACTGTTAAATCACTTTTTAAGTTATCAAACAATAGATAGTTTTTACACTTCTATTGATGTAAACAAACAATATACTGTGAATACACTTCTATAGTTGTAAACAAACAATAGACTGTTAATACACTTCTATAGTTGTAAACAAACAATAGCCTGTTAATACAATTCTTTAATTGTTTATAAACAATAGACTGTAAATACATTCAAGTTGTAAAAAACAATAGATAGTTCAAACACTTCTCTAGTTTTAACAAACAAAATACTGTAAATAAACTTGAAAACTTCTATAGTTACTTAACAACAATAGACTGTTGATTTAATTCTGTTGTAAACAAATAATAGACAGTTAAAACACTTCTACAATTGTAAACAAACAATAGACTGTTAAAACAATTCTACAATTGTAAACAAACAGTAGACAGTTTAAACACTTCTAGAGTTGTAAACAAACCATAGACAGTTTAAAACACTTCTACAATTGTAAACAAACCACAGACAGTTTGAAAACTTCTACAATTGTAAACAAACCATAGACAGCTACACTTCTACAGCTGTAAACAAACAATAGACAGTTTAAACACTTCTACAGTTGTAAACAAACCATAGACAGTTTAAACACTTCTACAGATGTAAACAAATAATAGACAGTTTAAACACTTCTACAGATGTAAACAAATAATAGACAGTTTAAACACTTCTACAGCTGTAAACAAACCATAGACAGTTTAAACACTTCTACAGCTGTAAACAAACCATAGACAGTTTAAACACTTCTACAGATGTAAACAAATAATAGACAGCTTAAAACACTTTTCTAATTTTCTACAGTGAACACAAATTAAAAAAAAATTTGCCTGCTTTTAAATTTCAAATGTAGATAATTATATTTTTTCTTTTATATATATCTTCACATTTATAGACAATTATTTTTTGAGGATGACATATACCAGTGGTACAACAAAAAAGAAATGTGTACTAACTCACAATCTAAGCATACTAAGTTTAATTTTATGTGGACATGAACCATTTGTGTTCAAAAAAAATTTTTTTTACATTATTATGCAGGCAATTATACATTATTCTTACTGGCATCATAATACGTTCAATTTTTTTTCTGTTTCAAATTTAATCAAAATATTCTGCTATTAGTTTTGTCCTGTACAAGATTCCTCTAATTTTATAGATGTTGTAATTGGATACAAAAATATTTATTTATTTTCTAAAGTAAATGCTTTAGAAGGGTACTTTCACGGGGTGAGTCAATCAATGAATCAGGTAGTTATGAAATATGAATCAGGAGCCAATGAATAGGTAGGTCCGGGTGAAGATGAATGAATGGGCCTATGAATAGGTCCGGGTGAAGATGAATGGATGTGACTACATTTATGATTAAACTACATTGTTTATAATATTATCAATTCACTCACTCAGTCTTCTATTCAATTCTTTCAAATCAAGTTCAGAGATCTAAAATGATCAACCGATCTTTTCATATAAATTTTTATCATGAATATGATAATCCCAATATTAATCTTATAGTAATAGACATTGATTTGATTGCCACTGGTGTGTCAGCTATCTAGGCTCTGCCACCCTCGTACACAGCGAGCTTCTTCTTGAGGATATCTCGCTCCAGAGCTAGTTTCGAGTTCTTGAAGTTTGCGTCATCGAGTTCACGCTTCAACACATTGTTCTCCTTCTCAAGATATGCGGCCCTATACATTTAATTTTATTCAGATTTTGAAAGGGACAAAAAGCACAGTGCAAGGATGAAATTGCCCGAATCACATGAGTATCCCTAAAAGCGTTGGCTGATCAAGTATGCATTAAATATCCATTATTTTAAAAACTGATTGACTTCAAATGTCGATCCTCTACAATAGGGACTTGCCTTTCAGTCCCAGGAAACATATACAAACTTTAAAACCTAGAAAAACGAACATATCTGCCACATTCTTGATCAGGTAGATGTTTCAAGGTGGGATACCGTTATCAACAGGGCCAGTGCTTAGGATCCGGATCCGTTAGATCCGAAAGATTTTGGCTTCCTGGATCTGGATCCGGATCCGCAAAAATATGCGGATCCACGGATCCGGATCTAAGGGGTAAAATATCAACCAAAAACTGCAAAAAAAATCTTTTTTACTCCAAAACCCCAATTCCAAATCTGAACTTCTGAAAAAAAAATTATAAAAATTTCCTCATTTCTGAATGGTTCATCAAGTTTTAGGATAAAAATAAGCGAAAAAAATAAGTTAAAAAATTTCAGTAAATCTTAAACAAATGACCTGGATCCGGATCCATTTTTTTCCAGTGCAGATCCAGGATCCAGGATCCGGATCCGCATCAAAATTGAATGGATCCTAAGCACTGAACAGGGCATTGCCATCTATGCATGATAGGTCACTTGAACTTATGCTTAAAGTCCCTTAATCTTTCTCTGTTTCTCTTTTGATCTGTCGGAAAATGACTTGCCTATGTTCTAGATCTGTTTGTTCAGTAAAAATGGGAGCTGCAATTAAGAAAATTTAAAAAACTACTTAATATCAGGATAAAATGGTCTTTTTTTAAGAATTTGAGATAGTAACTTACCAAGTCTGTGTCTCTGAACAATTTTAGTATTTTAATATTTTGATAAAAATTAATATTTTCTTGTTTTTATGACTAAATTTTTTTTATACTTGTTAATTTGTCTGATATAACTAACCTGAGAGCAATCTGATTCTCCTTAAGCCTACGCGCTTCCCTGGATCTGCGCGCAGCAAAGTTGTTCTTAGACCTCCGGTCCCAATACTTGTCGTCCTTGTTGTCCTCGGGAACAAAAAGCTTTGGACGCTTCCTAAACATTTATACAATTAAGAAAATATCTCCATTTGAGAAAATATGAGAAATGAAAAAAAACAGTTTAAAAAAGATTTAACCTGGAACTTAAAATAGGGGGGAGGGGGGTGGCGAGGTCATGTTTACATTTCCACTATGGCAACCAATTCAAATTTAAATTTGACAACCAAGACATGTTGAAATCGTGAATACAAAAATTAATAATTGGTAATTGACCCTTTAATGCCTTTGAGTATAGGAATAGGGATATGATTGAAATGCATGTTCATAGCTCAATTTTCAAGTCGAAATCATCAAAAAAACAAATTAGACCGATAACTTTCATAGTTTGAGTGCCAGGGAGAGTTGAAAAAATGCTAAAAAAGGATAAAAAATGTCGATTTTTTTTAGACAAATAAGATGTAACACATATTTTTACGTCTATTTTTCAAGGGCTTTTAAAAATACTGTTTTCAAATCTGTAGCTTTTTACCGCCCTGTACTAGTACCCTACCCTATGCAAAAAATCCTTCAGATCCTGTGTTATGGCAAAAGTCTAAAAAAATAGACAATAAATAGTTGTTTTGTTTAAATAAAAATCAAAGATTCAACAATTAATGCAATTAAAACGGAATTTTACGTTTCGAAGTATGTTGACAATTTGTTAATGTCAAAGTTATCATGAATTAAGGATGGAGGACATCATAAATTAAGGATGGAGGACATCATGAATTAAGGATGGAGGACATCATAAATTAAGGATGGAGGACATCATAAGTTAAGGATAGAGGACATCATGAATTAAGGATAGAGGACATCATAAATTAAGGATGGAGGACATCATAAATTAAGGATAGAGGACATCATGAATTAAGGATAGAGGACATCATAAATTAAGGATGGAGGACATCATAAGTTAAGGATAGAGGACATCATGAATTAAGGATAGAGGACATCATAAATTAAGGATGGAGGACATCATAAATTAAGGATAGAGGACATCATGAATTAAGGATAGAGGACATCATAAATTAAGAATGGAGGACATTTTAAATTAAGGATGGATGACATCATAAATTAAAGATGGAGAACAGCATCAAGTAGCACCTGATGATTGGTTGAGGTTTGAGTTCCTCAGCAGCAAAGGCGCGTTCTCTAGGATCAAAGTCTACTCCTGGAACAGTTGCCAGAGCTAAATCTTCTGGAGCAAACTCAAACTCAACTTCAAGCTTCCTCTTCTTCTCCTCCTAAAGTTCACAGATTTAAAGTTTGAAGTAATCTTGTCGTTTCACAGATTTTCTAACTTTTTGTTGTTGTCTGTACAGTTGTACAGACTTCTAAAATAATAATGGATAGGGATAGGGATAGTGATAGGGATAGTGATAGTGATAGTGATAGTGATAGTGATAGTGATAGTGATAGTGATAGTGATAGTGATAGTGATAGTGATAGTGATAGTGATAGTGATAGTGATAGTGATAGTGATAGTGATAGTGATAGTGATAGTGATAGTGATAGTGATAGTGATAGTGATAGTGATAGTGATAGTGATAGTGATAGTGATAGTGATAGTGATAGTGATAGTGATAGTGATAGTGATAGTGATAGTGATAGTGATAGTGATAGTGATAGTGATAGTGATAGTGATAGTGATAGTGATAGTGATAGTGATAGTGATAGTGATAGTGATAGTGATAGTGATAGTGATAGTGATAGTGATAGTGATAGTGATAGTGATAGTGATAGTGATAGTGATAGTGATAGTGATAGTGATAGTGATAGTGATAGTGATAGTGATAGTGATAGTGATAGTGATAGTGATAGTGATAGTGATAGTGATAGTGATAGTGATAGTGATAGTGATAGTGATAGTGATAGTGATAGTGATAGTGATAGTGATAGTGATAGTGATAGTGATAGTGATAGTGATAGTGATAGTGATAGTGATAGTGATAGTGATAGTGATAGTGATAGTGATAGTGATAGTGATAGTGATAGTGATAGTGATAGTGATAGTGATAGNGGGGGGAGAACAATGTTTCCTAGAGATATTGGGAAAAAGATGAAAAATTGGACATGACAGGCAAGTTTTTTTTATCCTTTTCCAGAATTTTTACCCAAAATTGTCTTTATTTTCTCCTAAAAATCATTAATTTTCCCCAATTTAGCGAATAAAAAGCTAAACAAAACTACGCGCAAACATGCCTAACTTCTGGGGGGAAAATGATTCTCAAAGAGTGGGGGGAAGATTTATAATGAAAATATACGCCCCTGTGTCTGTTTAAACTCAACGTCCAAACACAGACCACGGTTGAAACAATCCAGTCCAAATTTACTTGATATAAAATGTACAAAAGAAAACGCAAAAATTATTTTAGTTTTTTATATTTTTCTTACTTTCTCTCTTTCCATTTTGGCTCTCTTAGACTCAGCGTAGAGAAATGAGTTCTCTCCCTTGGGCAGAGAGTTCCGTTTACAATCCTTAGATGAAACAATAACTCCGGGTCTAGGAGAAGCACCGACTCCAGGGGAACTAGGAGAGGGAACACCACCGGAGCTTGAGGAGGACATCTCCATGGAGATAGGGGACATCTCACTCCTGGATTTACAGACAATTCAATTCTGTCAATTTATAGAACAGTATTTTTACATAAGCTCAAATTTTTCTTTTCTTTAAGGGACTACCCGCCATGCAAAAATGGCAATGCCCGATTCACATCGATAACCTTTAAACCTTCTGATCAATATTGTTGAAGATATCGTGTTTTTTAAGATTAAAAACTGTTTTGATAATTTCTAGATTATTTCCTCATAGTAGAGCGCAAGTCCCTTTTATGAGAAACCGCAATTAGAAATAATCAATAATAAAAGTCATATACATTGATATCTAATTCTTACTTGATCAGACAAAACTATTAAAGGCACCGTTATGAGCCAGGCTTCGCAATCTTTGCATGGAGGGTCGCTTGAAATTACGCTTGTAAAGTCCCTTTCATCCTTAAAAATTCAACGTTGTCATGGAAAATTAAGAATTATCTATCAAAGTTTTTTATACTAAATTGGNCGCCCCTCCTATCCATTTTGCACATGACAACTAATTTAAAGTTATTTTAAGTGATTTTTTATTATTTTAGGGTTAGGTTAGAAATTTAGACAATTTCTGGGCCGAGCGCTGCAGCGACTAACCCAGGCTAGGGGGCCCAGAAATTGTCTCAACTTAATTCCGAACCCTAAAATAATAAAAAATGAAATAATAAATTTTGCAAAGTCTATACAAAAGCTACCTAAATAACGATTAAAAATCATGTACAAAATTGATAGGAGGCCGGGGAAGGGGGAGATGTCCAAAAATCGTTTGGTAATTTCCTAGTTTACGATTTTTGGACCCCCCCCCCTCCTATCAATTTTGTACATGGCCGGGTGTTACAGGAAGTTTCTTAACTTAACCTAACCCGTGGCCGCAGCGCTCGGCCCCCTAGCCTATCCTAGCCGCAGCGCTCGGCCCAGAAAGTGTCTTAACTAACCTAACCCGTGGCCGCAGCGCTCGGCCCCCTAGCCCATCCTAGCCGCAGCGCTCGGCCCAGAAAGTGTCTTAACTAACCTAACCCGTGGCCGCAGCGCTCGGCCCCCTAGCCCATCCTAGCCGCAGCGTTCGGCCCAGAAAGTATCTTAACCTAACCTAACCCTAAATAACAAAAAAATAAATAATAATAAATTTGCTGAAAAATAAATGGTCATGTACAAAATTGATAGGAGGGGGGGGGCGGGTCCAAAAATCGTATACTAGGACAGACCCAATCGTTTACTAAGACGGACCCGAATTTTTCCACATCGCTTATATCCTTTTTCAATATGATGTTGACAAAGACATCATGTTTCAAGGGGGTCCATCCAAGCCAATAAAATGTTGTATGATACATGAATACAGGAGGTGTATATATTGAGTATCAAATGTCAACTAGACTAGCAACGCACAGAAAATACGTTTTTAGAAGAAATATGATTTATTTAGATTTCCAATTCTTTGAGATCACAACGAAAAGAACAGTAATAAAATTCTAAAATGTCCCACCAAATTTCATGTTCTCTATGATAAAAGTATTATTTAAAGCAAATAAAGATATCTTCCTAACTATCAAACTAAGTGTGCACGGCCCTTAGAATCACTGTCATAGGTATCCAATAAATATAATTACCTTGTTTATAATTTGCACTTTTTTTCACAAAAATCAAGGAAGGTAACGTCGTATTAAAACTAGTTTGTTGCTAAGAGACGGAGGCCTACTAGGACTGGAGTTTTCTCCGAACATGAGACAAAGAACTTAATCTAGAATGTTTTGTGTTCTGAAACTATTTATCAGTTCAAATTTTCGCCACTAGAGATAATTTAGAGGATTTAGAGAGAGATAATTTGTACTATGTAGAAATGAAGACGTTATATCAAGTGACCTAATATCCAATCGAACCGACCCGAAGGAGCAACAGGGGGGGGGGGGCAGAGATTTTTTTCACTTTAGATTTTTATTCCGTTTTTAAGAAACTAACGATTTTTACACTTCCGCATCACCTAAAATGATTTGACTCCATGATGACCAAATTACGTACAGGTGTCCCACGAACCATATGACAGTTATTAGTTATGAAAGTTGTCTTCCATTTACTTTATAAGATATATATTAAAGGCTTTTGGCAGTTTTTTTGTTAAAAATTAAGCTTTTTCTAAAACATATTTTATTACTTTGCAACGAATTTTGCTCCAATTGACATCTATATAAATTTGGCTTGTCCGTCTGTTTGTCTGTTTGTTTGTTTGTATCCAATAAACGTAAAAATGGCTGAACCGATCGGGCCCACATTTTTTGTGGGACATCTAGGGACCCCAGGGAAGGTTTATGAATGATCAAAATTTCGAAATATTTGTCTCCATCAAAATTCGATCTTCATTATAAATTTTTGAAAATTTTGAAAATCCACGAAATTTTTTGTGAAAATCCGCGAATTATTTTTGTTTTGTTTTACGATGTACAAAAAGAGAACATGTTCACAATTAATTTAGAAGATGGGCGCGAAGCGCCCTCTAAGGCTAGTCACATATATATAATTATCATTATTTAAGGTTATTTCGCACACTAAAAATTATACAATAAATTATGAAAAAGAAATAAATTAAACGAGGAACATGTAAATATAGAATATCACACAAAGTCAGTTATACATACAGTAACAAATTATAATAAATTGAATTCATGATTATAAAATCGTTAAAAGAAAAATTATTTGATCTTAGATCTTGCAGTTCATAAAAAAGAGGTATTTTTCAATTCTGATCGAGATCATGGTAACTTTAAAAACGTTTAATTTTGTTTGACCAAATTTTGGACTTAAACTTGTAATGTTTGTTACTTCACTAGCAAATACTTACTCGTAAGGGGATTCTGGAGATCTATAGGAGAGCTTCTCAAAGCTGGTACACTTCATATCCTCAGGGGGAGGACTACCCTCCTGATTCTAATCATTAATAAAGCATTATTTGTAAATGTTCATACTTATTGAATAAAAAATTCAATTTCCAAAAAAATATTTAAACTTTATAATACAGTCGTCAGCAGAAGATTGTGTCGTCAATCGGTACAATAAAGTGTCCAAGCAGTACATTTATCCGTCAATTGGTACAATAAAGTGTCCAAGCAGTACATTTATCCGTCAGTCGGTACAGTCGGTACACAAAAAGGAAATATTTAATGATTGTGGCCGAGTAAATCGGAAAGATAAACGTTATGATAGTGTTCTTCAATTCATTAAAAAAACAATTCAGTGGTGTGGGGAGGGGGGGGGGGGTCTAGGCTAAAAATAAAAATTCTACCTTAAGCGCTCCACCAAACTTGTCCTTGGGCAGTTCATTTTCAGCCAGGAAGTCCTCGATGTTCATGACAAAGTAATCATCTTCGTTGAAGGATATCGGCTTCTCCCAGAGCTTGGGCCCGAGGTAGGCCGACTCAGGAGCGATATTCTCAACCTCAACCTTAGCCTTCATCTTCATAATTAAAATTAATTAGTGCTTTATCATTAATTGATATTAACTGGCATGACTTGACATTTTAGCAAGGATAAATATGGACGAACAGTGCATTCATAAATACACATTAAAATAAAGAAAATTCTATTTTTTTATTATTAAATTAGTTTTTCAGTAGTTAAAAAAAGTAAAGGATATTTATAGCTATATTAATAATCCCATTTATAATATCTAAAAAAATAAATGAACGTGACGTTGTACTTACTGGTGTATTTGGTCCAGAATCGGATCTTTCCATCAGTTCTTTGAAGAGATTTGCATTCCAAATATCCATTTTTAGTTACTAAATAGATAAATGTCATTATATGATCATAATAAATCATTTTTGAATAAAGTGGGTGGAATGACCCCCCCTCTCAGGTGCTAGGGGAGGGCGCGCGCCCGGCCGCCCCCCCTAGTTGCGCCTCTGAATTTGACAAATTCGAATGGAAACATTCCACGAATTATATAATTTTAAAACATTGCTGCTGTGAAAGTCTCATTATTGGGATCCGTAGAACAAATCATAAATATTGTACAGTTTGGCTAGGGTTACAGGGTCGGCAAAGTAAAATTCTTGTCCTAAAGAATGAAGTTTAGAAATGAACTTTGCGCTTAACTGCGCACAGTCATTGGTCATACAGAGCGTCCCATATCATGATTAGATTATCTCCATTCTTTAACGCCAAAATACGCACAAAATACATGAAAAACCTAGCATTTGCTGCAAAAAAAATTCTATTAGCCTTATTAAAACTTTTAAAAATGAATAATTCTTCTTGAATTTTCTGATTTGTCCCTCAAATCGTAATTTAGACCCTTTGACGCGGTCTAATTTGATGTGGGACACCCTGTAGAATTATCTATCTGAAAAATGTTTCCCAAATGTTTTATTTCACGGACATAGGAAGTTGTTGTCCATTTATAAGATAATAGGTAAAATGATATCAGTGTTCAAATTTTCCTTATTAAATATAACACATTTATTTTTGATTTTTCTATAATTGGATTAGTACTAAACTTCATATATGTCTAATTGATATATCAAACAACTTAACAAATTATGGAAGAAGACAATCATAAACTATTCACCATGTTTCGTGGGACACTATGTATAATTAAATCATTTAACAGCCAGCTCGTAGCGAGGGGGGGGGGGCATAGGGGCCCGTGCCTCCCCCGGCCTTTTCTCAGAAGGGGGGGGGGCACATATAGACACAATTGAGAAGAAAAAGTTTGAAAGAATGGAACGAAAAGTGAAAAAGGAAAAAGAGGAAAGATCTTTTTTATTTTATTGTCGAGCATGGCATTAAATGATCTGGCAATTTTTATTTAACAGATTAAAAATTTGAGGAAACTGACCAAAAATACGAGGAAACAGATCAAATTAAAAGTATTTGGAAAAAGAGGAAACGGATCAAAAAAAAATGCGGAAACGTACCAAAAACATTGGGAATCCCCTTGAAAATATTTAATTAAAATAAAGGGGAAATGGATATAATTTTGGTGAATCGATCAAAAAAAGGAAACTCCTCCAAATCTGAATTTAGAGGAATTTCCGAAGAATTTGAAGAAATCGCAGAAATGCATCAATAAATGAGTAATTTGATTGGTTTACGCGTTTCCATGTCACCGCACAGGGACAGATGCCCCCCTTTTTCTCCATATATGTGACGAAAAAAAATTAAGAAATGAAAAGAAGGAAACGAGAAATAAAGGAAAGAAGGTAAAAAAGGGAGAAAATTAGCAACAAATCTTATTTTTGTTATCAATATTATGTGTTATAGGGATTATTTTTCTTTTTATTAATGATAAATTGAATGTTTTCTGAAATTAATTATTTGGGAATTTTTTCTTCTATCCTGTCTTCAAGGGTGTTTAGAAAATTAAATCTAGGGAGGGGCAAAGTTAGAACTGTAAATTCAGAACATTTAGCTTCTTGGATATCCGGCAAAAGTCGCACAAGTATAAGATACTTTCAAGGTACACATACAGTCCAATCACCTTGCAATTGCTTACTTAAGTACTACTTTATCTCTCCTTCAAACAAAACTCTGTGAACTTAAAAGGGAAAATTAGGTTACAGCACTGCAATAATATGTATTTTTTGTGGTGGTGGGGTGGGGGGGATTCCCCTCAAACTTATAAACAGCAAACTATTTTTGTCCTGGGGGAGGGCTACGCCCCCATCCCAGGTCTAGGGGGGCACTGCCCCCTTTTCCCCCTCTGTATACACACTTGCCTGTCTTATATATGAAATGATAGTGTTACCATTTAAAAAGTGGTCGAAGTTGAGGGAAATTTAAAGCCTAAAACTGATCTGAATAAGTCTACAGAGTATAGTAAAATAAATAAAGTAAACAAAGATTTGGTTGGATATGGTTGATACTAATGAATCGAAGAAAGCCGAAGATCTCTGGTAGACCCTCTGGCCCAACATCGTTATCCTGCCCTGCCCCCTCCTTCTAGGAGCAGAAGGGAGTTGGTCCTTCCTTCCCAAGTCTTCTGAATAGATTCTTTTTAAATGTTGGATTTCGTAATTTTTTTTTCAACCTTAAATTGCAGTTAACTTAAAAAAAAATTAACGTGTTTTGAAGGTCTGCGCCATTAGCAATTTATTTAACCGATAATGCATTTTTTTGGTGCTTTGCGCCGTTAACAATTTCATGAAACGTTAATATTGAAAATCCTTAACAACGGGCACCGTTAATGTTTGTTGAAAATATTCCGTTAACGCTGATAACGAAATTTAAAACTTTAAGTAACGGTAATTTCAAAAAACCAGTAAATGCTGCTAATTCGAATGGACGTGTCGTTATTCTTAACTTTAAATTGATGGCTACTTGAAATTTTACTTTTTTTAACAGAATTGGAACTAATTGTTAACGGAACGGCTAGAAAAAGTTGGAACGTGTCCATCCCTAACTATCGTACAGCATTAAAAAACAATATGGAGACAAAATGAAATTATATATAAAATAAAGTTTTGGGGAAGCTGTGCTCATCAAGCCCGGGCTTGATTTTCCTTGCCCTAGAAATAATTTTTGGCTATTCGTACATGTAAATTTGTCTGTATAGATCTATTGATTTATAGGTTTTTAGCCTTTAACTCATAATCACATTCACAACATAATATATGTTTTGAATTTTATACTGTATCTACAACATCATTATATTCCTTCAACTCAGTTATAATGAAAATATTGAAAGGCAATTTTTTGTTACTAAGCAAATACAAAAAAAGAACGAAGACATTTTTTAGAACAGACAAATGTATCTAATTAATGAAATATATGTGTGTAATAAGTCAATAATAATAAGTTTTTAGTCTTGATTCATAATTCTTAAAATTTTCTGAGATTTTAAGGTCAAACTTTTTTGCCTTCGACTACTCCTACTGCATGCACAAAAGAACTCTTTTTTGATGATTAACTAACAAAGATGTCAGCAAATAATGCATGTTAAAGAAACTGCATAGTTTTGCATTTTTAGTTATGCATATTTTATTAATTTTATTTACTACATAGTACATATATTCCAACACAATGTTTTTTGGTTTAAAACTAGTCATTAAAATTGTAATGTTCAATATGTTATTAAAAACTAATGTAAGTTTAGCCGAGTTTTTTATAATGTGCATACTGCACATACTGCATAATCAGTATATATCAAAGAATTATAATTTGCCTTATTACCTTGGTATTTATCATATTGTTTATGTGAAATTTAATTGTTTACTATACTTATAATATTATAGTTTACAATTCAGAGGCGCAACTAGGGGGGGGGGGCGGCCGGGCACGTGCCCTCCCCTAGCACCTGAGAGGGGGGGGCGCCCCCCCCCTGCAGAATGAAAAGAAAGAAAGAATGGCGAAAATCAGTATCACAGGAATAAGAAAACCAATAGAGTTATTGTAGAAATTTTATTATACTATAGTTAGTTTTAAAAAGAAT